CATTTTATGTCAAGTGTTTCCTTATATTTTATTGTTGTTGCCTCATACGGCCCTTCTGGCCTACTTACCCATGATGATGTAATAAGAAAGATATGTTACATTGGTACTCGGTTGAGTAAGGCACCGGGTGCCCGTCGGCACAGTCTCGCGATCGCGAAGGCTTGTCCTGTTTGAGCATCGCGAACGCGAATGGTAATGGGTGCTGACCCCTCCCAGGTCCCTTTCTTCTACACAAACGCGAGAGGGCCTTTGCGAACGCGTAGGCCTAGGACCTCAAACCTTCGCGAACACAACTGCCTGATTGCGAACGCGAAGAACAAATCACCCCACTTCCCAAATCCTTCATCACGAGCGCGATTACTTCTCCGCGTTTGCGGAGAAGGAAACCATAACAGAAAATTCTGGTGTTTCCAACTTAACTCCAGGCGGTCCGAAACACACCCGACCCACTCGTGACCCCGTCCAAAAGCACCAATAAGTCCAAAAATATAATAAGGACCTCCTCGAACTCTCGAAATGCGTAAAACAACTTTGAAACTAAGAATCGCACCCCAAAACCAAATTGAAACAAATAATGAACTTCAAGTTTTCAACTTGCTCCGAATGCGTCGAATCATGCTTAAACTACTCGGAATGACATCAAATTTTGCGTGCAAGTGTTAAATAACCATACGAAACTATTCCCAAACTCGGAATTTCAAACAAACCTCGATAACACCAAAACCTACTCCAAACCAAATTTAAAGAACTTTAAAACCTTCAATACGACCAAAACGCTCCCAGTCAACCAAAACCGGATATGAACATACGCCCAAGTCAAAAATCATCATACGAACCTATTGAGATCATAAAATCCCGATTTCGAGGTCGTTTACTATAAATGTTGACCCAAGTCAAGCTTAACCCTTTAAAGCCAATATTAAGGAACTAAGTGTTATCCCTTCCTCATTTGCCAAACACGCCGCAAAAAATTAAAAAGCTCTCTGTACAGTGCGACAACGAGCTACAGTGCATCGCCAGTGGCGATATGGCCACAACTCCATCGTTCACCAATGGAAAACCACCGGACAACCTTCAAAAGACATGTCTTTCAACTGCGCATCATCTCCAACAAACCTCACTCCAAAACAATCCCCTAGCTAGAACAGATTTTCAAAATAGTGAAGGGATCACTGTTCATACAAATCGCCTGGGAGCTACTGAAATTCCCCAAGCGAGTTCTGGGGCAAGTAAAAATATTCCAAGCCATGGAAACTATTCTCCATCACCAAACACAGCTCCCCACCAAAATTCAAGTAATTCCCCTGGGGGAATTGTCTTCTCCGACGAGTTACAAAATGCCGGTGTAATAGAAATATTTTCCCATGGAGTTCCAGGTGTCCAATTGAAAGAAGAAAGGTACCAAAATGCTCGCCTTGATGAGGAGAACATGCTAGCATCATAAACTTCATCTGGGTATCAACTAATTGCTCCAATTTTGCAATCGTTAAGCCTAGGCAGTCTGTCTTCTCTAACTGTTCGACAAATGACACCATCTTTCCTGGGACGATTTGGCCAAGCAACCAATTGCAAATGATTCTACGTCACCTAAGGAACAAGTCTCCAAAATTTCAGGCCATTCAAATGTGGAAATTGATCACCATGATCACTGGAAAAGCTCAGAACTTTACCACTTGGCCAGACATGGTCTTCCGGGGAACCAAATGGACTCATGACCAATGCCAAAAGATTCCTACAGCTCAGGAGAGTGTTTTCAAATCTTCAAACCAAATTTTACGTGGTTCGGTCTCGTCCAATATTACATAAGGTACTCCTGCGCACTGTAGCTACACAGACGTTCGATGAAATGTCAATGCTCCCTTAAGCCCAATTCAACCTATTTCATTGAGTGCAGATAATCCTCTTCTTCATAAGGATGCAACATGCCAAGTTTCACAAAAATTCGTTGGAGGAATTGATTCCTCTGAATAGTTAAAAGGCTCAGTTTTCACACAGTTGGTCGGAGATGGTGACACAGGTGATCAGCTGTCATCAGGCCAATTTGAGGTGATCTCTGATGCTACACTCAATGTTTCTACCATCCCTACTCCTCCAAACTACCACCGCAATGTCACAACCTCACAACCCAAAGTCCCAGTTCCACAAAGGGTCGATAATGTTGCAACAGCTGCTTCTGTGTGATCAAAGTCAAGCTGAACCTCCTGTTATAAAAGATGCTCCAACCCCTAATGTTGATCACACTGAAACTCAACACCAAAACCCTCACCTTTTGACCTTAGGTAAAAACCTTGCTCCTTCATTTTTTCTGTACCAACACAGACTAATCCAAGTAACCAAGCTCCCTCATATGATCAAAACCATAATAAACCAGTCCACAATTCCACTCTCAAGGTTTCTTCTAACTTTGCGAGACCAAACATCCCAAGGAAAAACCAAAAAAACCACACCAAACATCAGGAGAAAACAGTGCAACCCACCCATTCCAACCTAGTTACCACTATCATTCCTCAACCCAATGCCAACAAAAATAAAGACAAACAACCTGTAAATCCCCCACCTCCACCTCCTACTGTCACTCACTCTTATGTCACAAGGCTCAGAGCTAGGCATGAGGCTGAGAGGGAACCAATTTCATTTACCCCACCAATGATAACCACCAAGCTAGGCCAACCTGCAGTAATATTCAAAAGGGAAGACTACATGGTGAGATTTGAAGATAGGTGCAAATTCACAGTAGTAGGCAAGTTCTCCAATACTATGCCTAAAATGGAAGTCATTAGAAGAAGTTTCATTTCCGAAACTGAGCTTAAAGGAGGAGTCAAGATAGCTCATTTCAATGCTCGGACTATGTATATTGACTTGGATAATGAATATGATCATTCCACTATGTGGGCCAAACAGTATATGTACATCTAAGTTCAAATGATGAAATTGGAAGCATGGTCTCCTGCATTCAAGCCTAATGAAGATTCACCCATTGTGCCAATATGGGTGGTTGCCCCAGAATTACCATGGCACTTATACTACATGGAAGTAATCACACCACTATTGTCACCTATTGGCAATGATTTATACCTGGACTTGGCATCTTTCCAGAAAACAAGGGGGAGTGTGGCCAAGGTAAAGATTCAAATTGACTTCACCAAGGAAAGACCTCATCTTGTCTGTTTTGGATATGATGAGGATCAGGATGAAAATGGGGAAGGAGAATGGCTGGAGGTCCAATATGATAATGTGCCTGCTTATTGTAATAACTGCAAGCATCTGGGCCATTCTGAATAAACATGTGAAATCAGACTAAAAGAAGAGGAAAAAAATAAGAAGAAAGAGGAAGAAGCTATCGAAACAAGTGATTCCCATGCTACCAATCAGAATAAATCTCACAATAAAGCAGGAACAAGCAAGAATAAAAAGAAGGAACAAGGGGGAATGCCAAAAACAAATGCACATGACCAATGGAGAAGCCAAATGCTATCAAAACATCAAAAAGCAGCAGAACACCAAAGCTCAGTAGAAGAAATAACAAACGAAGACTAGCAAATCGAAAAGAGAAAGAATTTTAAAGCCAATACCCAAAGCAAGAGGCAACAACAAGATTACATGCCAAAACAATCAAATACTCAACAACAGCAGGTTGCACCAAATGAGATTCAGCAACAGGTCACACAATCATCACAACCATCAGGTATACCCCTTATCGTTCCTCCAGCTCAACTGGAGAGGGGTGTAGATTCTGGTGCCCAGAATGAACCCATTCCCCCTATTCCTTCCTATATTTTTGTTGGTTGTGAAGTAAATGGAGGAAAGGAGAATTGTCAGGAGACACCAATAGCGAGGCAGGAAGGGGTACCAAATGGTGAGGGGCTTCCTCATGTTTTGCATGAGTGTGCTAATACACAATTAACTGACCATATGATTGACCAACCATCCCCTGCTACCACAGTCTAAAATTCAGGAAAACAACAAGCCTAGCATTCTGATAATGTGATCATTGAGGAGGATTTATAATCCTTCATCTCTGAAGAAGATCCTTCTGCACAAATGAAAGCACTGCACAAAGGAAAAGCCAAAGTTGCAGCTGACTTCCAAGTCCAGTCTTAGAAAACAAAAAACAAGCCCAGTTAGAAAAAGAGGAAAGCTATGAGGAACAAAACTACAGGAATTAGTATAAATGAACCACCTGATGACTCACAGTTTGTGAGCCCTGCAATCCAGCAAAGATTTAGGCATGATCCAAATGCAACAGTAGAAGTATACAGGAGCTCAGTAATAGCTAATCCCTCCCTCTCCCAACCTTTGTCATCCAATAAAGAACCAATCTCAGATGGCAATGAATCAGAACCACCTACCAATGATGAAAACCTCACTCCCAAAACACACAAAGCCACTTCTACTCCTACCAGCACCCCCAGAAAAAACCATCTCTTGCATCCTTTACAAATGGTCCTGGAGGAGTGTCCTCTCAACAGATATACTCCACAACAAGATGAGTATAGACCAATTTAATCCGAGGATGAAATAATTGGGGAACAAGATGTTGACAATGATTCTAGTGATGAAGATCTTGAAAAGGAATAACATTGTGATCACCTGATTGCTGCAGTGAATGGAAAGTCAAACCAGAAAATTGTTGCTTCTGCAACAGTCCCACCCAGAAAGATCCCCTCACCAAGGCTATCCAGGAGCAGAGCTGCTAGAAATAGAAGTAGCATTTTCCCACCAAAACATAACCAAAAACCCTCCTTCCAATGATTAGTACAATCATTTGGAATACAAGAGGAATCAGGACCTCAGGAGCTATTGAAAGGCTCAAACTCCTGAAACAAATCCACAAACTTTCTTTCATTACTGTCCTTGAACCTTTCCTAGACAACTCTCACATGAACTCCTTTAAAATCCAACTCTCAATGCATCAAGTTGCTGCTGATGTCAATGATAAGATCTAGGTATTCTGGGATAAGGAATTCACTCCCAAGGATTTAGATCATGATGATCAACAAATGTCTTTGGAGGTGAAGCATGTTGAAAATGGCAACTTGTTTCATCTTACAGTCATCTATGCCAAATGCAAACCAGTCCTCAGAAGGCCATTGTGGGAAGTTCTAAGGCAGAAATCATCAATCTGCAGTGTTCCATGGTGTGTCATAGGAGATTTTAAGGTCATTGCTTCTGTAGAAGAAAAGATTGGTGGCATTCCATTCCAGATGTCCAAGAGTCTTGATTTTCTAAGCATGATGGAGGACTGTGGCCTTGTGGACTTGGGTTTCTATGGTCCTAAAGTCACATGGTCTAATGGAAGGGGGCAATGTTCTATTGTATGGAAAAAGTTAGAAAGGGGACTGGCCAATGCTCACTGGCTAGAAGCCTTTCCTGCAGCCACAATTTCTCATTTAGCTTCAGCAGAATCTTATCACAACCCCCTACTCCTGGAACTTCATAAAAGACAAGACAATGTCAAAAAATACTTCAAATTCCTCAATTGCTGGGTGGACAACAACAACTTTCTTCCCGTGGTCTTTGAAAGCTAGAACAAAGAGGTTTGAGGTAATGCTATGTGGGTGTTTCGCCAGAAAATGAAAGCACTAAGCCATGCTCTAAGTCTTTGGTCTAGACAACAATATGCGGATATCTTCCAAAAAGCTAAAAAATTTGAACAAAAGGTAAAGAATGCAAAAATGATCTAGGCCCAGACAAACAATGACCATGACAGAGCAACTCTCAATGAGCTTAAGGCTCATTATGTTAGACATCTGAAGGTTGAGTAGGATGTTCTAAATAGAAAACACAACTACAATGGTTCAAAGAAGGGGATGCCAAATCTAGATACTTCCACAGTTTAATAAGAGGAAGAAGAAGGAAATCGTACATCCACAAAATCAAGAATGAGGAAGGAGAATGGTTTCTGGGAGATGAAAATATAGGGAAGGCTGCCTGTGATTAGTTTCAGAACCTCTTCACAGACCCTGGCTCAGTTATTAGAGAAGACTTGCTGTCCATTATTCCGACCATGATATCTAGTGATGAAAATGATACACTCACCAAGGATCCATCAATAATAGAGCTCAAGGAAATAGTGTTCTCCATGAACCCTACTAGTGCAGCAGGACTCGATGGCATGAATGGGAAGTTCTATCAAGCCTGCTGGGAAGTGATCAAGGAAGATTTACTCAAAGTTGTTTGTTCTGTCATTCTTTAGAGGCAATCCAATGCCTAGAAATATGACCAATGCATGCCTTGTTCTCTTGCCTAAGGTTGAATTCGCTAACAGTCTCACAAAATTCAGGACAATCAGTCTCAGCAACTTCATCAACAAGATTATCTCCAATGTTATTTGTTCATGGCTTGGTCCCATCCTCCCAAAGATAATCTTTGCAAACCAATCTGGCTTTGTAAAAGGCGGGAAGATATTTGAAAACATCATGCTGGGACAAGAAATAGTGCATGGTATCAAGAAGCCAACTGTGGGGTCAAATGTGGTCATCAAGCTTGACATGGCCAAGGCCTATGACAGAGTATCCCGGATTTTCACCTGCATCATGCTTAGGAGAATGGGATTCAGTGAAATGATTATTGACATGATCTGGTGAACAATGTCCGACAACTAGTACTCAGTCATTGTTAATGGCACTAGATATTGATTTTTTCGGTCTAAAAGAGGCCTTAAACAGGGTGATCTACTTGTCCCATCCTTATTCATCATAGGAGTTGAACTTGTCTAGAATGCTCAACATTCTGAACCATGATCAACTGCTTCATGGATTTTATATGGAGAAGAGAGGTCCTCAAATCATGAGTCAATTCATGACTACTTCCTGTGCACTCCCAAGTGCTATCAGAAGAATTCAAGAAGTGACAGGCTTTTCTAGAAGGGATTCACCACTCACATACCTAGGCTGCCCTCTGTATACTGGTAGGAGCAGAATTATGCACTTCAGTGGTCTCATTTACAAGGTGCTAGGCAGAATAAAAGGTTGGCATGGTAAGATGTTATCCTATGGTGGCAGGGCAACCTTGATCAAATATGTCCTTCAATCCTTACCAATCCATAGACTTTCAGCAGTATCCCCTCCAAAGACTGTCATGAAGCAAATTGAAAGGTTGACAACTAGCTTCTTCTGGGGAATAGATAAGGACAAACACAAGTATCATTGGGCATCATGGTCTAAGCTATCCTTCCCTCTCAATGAAGGTGGTGCATGTTTCAGAACCATTCATGATACCTGTAAAGCCATGGAACTAAAGTAGTGGTGGCATTTCAGAACAACAAACTCTCTTTGGAGTACATTCCTGAAGGCAAAGTACTGTCAAAGATCAAATCCCATATCTAGGAAATGGGACTTAGGCCAATCACAAGCATGGAAAAGATTGATGTTCAATAAGAAAGAAGTAGAAAAAGTAATTCAATGGAGACTCCATAATGGGAAATGCAACTTTTGGTGGGACAACCGGCTTAGCTCCGGACCATTGGCATACAGCAGAACAGAAGGGGGCAGACCAGGCAACACATCGGTGTCTTACTTCTGGAATGAAGTCCAATGGGACCTTCAGAAGCTTAATATAGCTGCCCCAGCACACGAGATCATGCAGACAACCATCCATTTCAACCTTGACCTTCCTGATAAACCTATCTGGACACCTACTGTCAAGGGTAATTTCACCTGTGCTTCTGCATGGGATCTCATCAGAAAGGAACCCCCCTCCCCCCCCCCAACTTCACCAACAGAATGAATTGGCACAGAAAGATCCCTTTCAGGTGGTCCTTCTGCTTGTGGAGAGCATTTAGAAACAAACTCCCAACTGATGATGGAGTGCATATTTTCAGCAGTCCAACAGTTACCAAGTGTGTATGCTGTTCTATGCATGCTCTGGAAACAATTGACCACCGCTTTAGCTCTAGGTACTTTGCAAGAATCATATGGAAGAAATATGGAGGCTATGTAGGCATTCCAACTGAAAACCTATCTCTAAGGCTGCTTCTTATGAAATGGTGTGTGCTGAAGACTCACAACTCTGTGCAAAAGCTCATCTTTGATACCCTCCCCATTATTATTTGCTGGAACTTGTGGAAGAACAGATGCAGTGCCAAGTATGGGGCAAAAACCACCTCCCTGACTAGAGTCTTCTACTCTATCAACTCTGACATCAACTTACTCCTAAGATCCAATTTTCCTGATCTCCAATGGCCTTTCAACTGGGGGGAACTCTATGCCTTTATTGAAAATCTTCAGCATCACACCACCTCAACTCAAGTGATTTGGAACAAACCAGACAACGATTTTATTAAGATCAATTCTGATGGGAGTGCAATGACTAATCCTGGAAAGATTGGAGGGGGTGTCATCATCAGAAACCACTATGGTCAATTTATCCATGCAATTGCATCTCCCTTAGGAAAAGGTTCAATAGCATGGCTGAAACTAAAGTAGCTTCATTAGGCATCGACTGGTGTATTGAGAATGGATTCACCAAAGTCCACCTTGAAGCTGATTCTGCATTGTTAATCCACTGGTTGACAACTGATGCAGTACCCCCTGGGACTCTTAACATACCCATCCAAAAGCTCAGGCAACTCTCTCAACAATGTGAAACTATTACATACATTCATGCCTACAGAGAAGCCAACACTCCAGCTGACTCACTTTCCAAAATTAGCCACACCCTTCCAAGCATCACCCACTATACAAATATGAATGAGCTCCCCTCTCACATTAGAGGCCAGATTCACCTAGACAAAATGGCCACCCCAACTTTCAGGCATAAACTGACCAAGAAGCTCATAAACCATTCAGTGGCATCCCCGTCCTCCTCCCATGGTTATGGTTAACATCTTCTTTAAAAAGGGGAGCAGAAATAATTGTCCAAGCAATTCCTCCATCATGTGGAACTGTGCAATCATGGGATTTTCACAAACTCAGTTTGTTCTTTTGCAGGTTGTCTTCTCTTATGAACTACCCAGTTCTTTGTTACTGTTTCAGGGTGTGGTATTAGCCTATGGGCTCATCCTCTTGGAACCACAACAAAGGGCTGATGTAGGTTGTAAAGAGCAGAAAGTCCACCCTCTAAGGCATGCAATGGAATTTCATAGTGGCCCCCTCACTTCACCAATCATAAAAGCACACCAAAGCACCACTTCCTCTGTTTCTAAATAGAAGAACTCACAGTAACACCCTCATAAACAATCATACACTCACAGACATCAATCAATAAACACCAACCCTCACTCAAATTGCATCAGTATACACAAGAGCCTGATTGCAAACAACTAGGAACCTCATGATGACAACAGATCCAAAAAACTGGGCAGAAATGCCAAATTTTTTTTCTAACACTGTTTCTATTTTGCAGGTTCCTGCTGCTCCTTCTTGCTTAACCAATTGACATATTTTCAGAGTGTGGTATTAGCATCTATGATGCTCATTCCTCTGGAAATACACCAATTAGCCAAAGCACAAAATCACTGGAATAAGGCCAACAATCATTCAATAACAGAAATCCCCACAAAAACCAAAAATAAAGCATCAGTTTCAGCTGTAAACATCAACGAATCAGCTGAACAACCCTTCCCCCACCTCAATGCTACAACTTTCCCACAGAATGCAAGAACCCCTCTAAAACTAATTGTGCACTACATCACAGTAGGGCTACATACATATGAAACAGAGCTGCCTCTGCCTCTGTCTCTGCTGCAGCTTCTGAACTCCCTCCGAACCAAAGAAACAAATATACAACTAAATCCAGTCAACACAAGAACCTGCAAATAGTTTCTCATCAAAAAGCAGAGCTGCCACCACTTCCCCCACTTCCCCTGAACCCATACTCACTTCCAGAACCCACAAGAACCTGGAAACTTAGTCCCCTTTCACTAACATGTTTGCTAATTGTTGTAGGTACCAGGGATAAGCTCATACTGGTGCAACTTTTAGGAGTGGTATTAGCATTCCAAATGCTCAACGTCTACAGATGCATCAGTTCTCTTGGGCTTATCATATACACCTTCCCACATTGACACAAACATAGTCAAAACAAAAGTACAGGATCTCTCAAAGCCTGTCATTACTCAGGAAAAAGCAAAGCAGCAGGCACAATAACAAATTCCATCACTGGACAAAACAGAAGCCAGGAAATCACACAGTGAAGTACCAAGCATCACTTCTCAGAAGCTGCAATCAACCACTCAAAATTCACTGTGTTTCCCATAAGCAGCAATCAACCTGCTTCCATGCCTTCTCATCTTTGGCACATCCCATCAACTCCAGGAAAACACACACATCTAGAGGCAGTCAACACAAGAACCTGCAACTAGTTGGCCCATACTCTCTTCTAGAACCCACAAGAACCTGGAAACACAACCCCATTTCACTAACATCTTTGCTAAGTTTTGCAGGTTTCTGGAATAGGTTTGGTCAATTGGGGCACTTTCAGTTAGTGGTATTAGCATCCTAGATGCTCATTCTACTGAAAGTGCACCAATTTGCCCAACCCTCTCAAATCATCTCCACACACACAATCCAGTCAACAACATCTCCACCAGTGATGCTCTGTGGTGAATTCATGCAGCAGTTCTAATAGAAAATTGTCATCTATTCAAATCCCACAGCCTACTTACACTTGATTCAACTCCAACAGGCTAATACCCAGGCAGTCTACCAGCAGCAGGCACATTTGCAACAACAAGTCATCTATGCAAGCATTCCTGCAAGCTTCTCTGTCCCAGCTATCCAGTCCTGCACACACTCTGCAGACCTCGAGTCAAAGGGGATATTTGAAGCAAGAAGTTGCTCACTCTTTTTTGTTAGAATTATCAGACATCAACAACTCAATTACCCCTCATTTGGAGCCTTTCTGACAGTTATCTTCCATTTGGCTTTCTTTCCCAATGTCAAAGCAAAATGGATGATAGCTTCCATCAATAGTTTATGTTGTTTACCATTACTACTAGAACACTTCTGCTTTTTCAATAGAGGTAGAATTTGTTGTATATGGAAGATGATCTTCCAAATCTTTTGCTTAGTAGATTTAGGATCACTTGTGCATTTTTGTATAGTTGACCTAGGCTTACTACACTTGTATTTTGTAGTTCCAATTGTCTATCACTGTTTGATAGACAATTGGTTCATCATCATTTGTCTAACTCACCATAGGTTTTAGAGTTCTTTTGGTTGCCATACTTGGTTTACCAAATGCACTTTCATCTTATTACTGGAGGTAAGGTTTATGTCCCCTTCCATTTTTGTTGTACTATATTTTATATCTATGAAAATTAACTCTAGGCACAATGCCCAGTGGACTTTGATAAAAAAAATCCCTAGCCTCAAACCCCCATATTTCACCTCAAAAACTCACCAACTAGGTGTAAAATCAGTGGAGAAACATAACTATTGAAAAAAATTGACACAAGATCTTACCTCAGGAATTCCCCTTGAAAATCTCTCTCAAAATCTCAAATATCCGAGCTCAAAATGTTAGAAATGGAGAAAATCTCGGAACCCTCGCTTATATAGGTTCTGCCCAGTTACAGGGCACCTGCGGTAAAAAACCCGATTTTGCGGTAGAAAGTCCACTTCTGTGGAAATCACTTACTTCCCCA